GTTTATACTTTTACTTGTGGTTTTGAAGCATGGAGATGAGCTGCATTGGCCTTGTACATGGAACGGAATTACGCGGCCTTGTTATCTGTTTGCAAGGAAGTTCCATCCCGATGCTCTCGATACATTGGTTAACCTCTTCCCAAACTACACAAGCATAGTTGTCTGAGAGAGGATTCTTGAACTGAGACATGCAACTCTTGGACCTAACTATGTTCCAGATATGACTCGGTGATGGATCTTTTAGATACTGTATTTTTTCGGAAGAAACTAAAATTAGTTGGAATTTGATTTTTCTTAATGAAATGGAAAGCTGGTTATACGCAATCAGAGCAGAAACTTTTGGTTAAAAGAGTTTCATATTGCTATTTCCCCACCCTGATTCATTCTATATCATTCGGTTTATTGTAAAAATGGAATTGTAAAAACTCAAGCTATCATCAACACAGAGTGTTAGTTTCTTGAAGTCAGTTTATGATTTCGCCTTGTGCCTCGGCAATGACTAGTGGAGCTGGAGGAACGGTGGGCTGACGCGGTGAGCAGTCCCAGTCTTTGCCGTCTTTGACCACGGAGAAGTGTTTGGGAACCCAAGACTCACCAGAAGCGCCTCTCTGTTTCAGAGAATCTCTCTGTTTCTCCTCGATAACTCTCTTAGCTTCTCCTGCAGTTTCCCAGTCTTTCTTCAGTATCCCTTCACTTACCTCACTCCACACCATTGCCGACTCGGTCTCCATTACTTTCTGAAGATTCTTGACAACTGGAGGTTTGAGTCCTGAGATGTTCTCCTTAGCATTGTAAATAATTTCGACCTCACCAGTCTTTAGGTTTTTTGCCATAATTGTTCTGAAACAATAAGGAATGTGAATGACATCAGTGCTTCTGATGTTTTGATGACTATAATTCATGTTTTTACCTGTCCCAATGGCCAAATATGTCGTAGAGATGATTCCCAGAGGAAGATTCAGTGATCTTTCCTTTAATTGATCTATTTTTGTTCCCTTTGAACTTTTCGAAGAAAGAATCGGAGAGCAAGTGTAATTCAGCCTCGAGACCGGTCGCTAGGCATTTAATCTTGACTTTTCCTGCCCAGTGAGCTACAGGCACGGGTAAGAATCTCATGATCAGTCTCGGTTGGTCCATTTCGTAAGTCTCTTCTCGATTCATAAGCTTCAGTATTCTTTTACCCTTTACGTCAACCTCCACATAACCACCTTATTCATTAACCATTACACTAGATAAGACGAGATGGTTCGGTTTTGAGATCATTCGATATGCAGCATAAACAATTCGAGTGTTATTGTTTAAAAAAAAAAAACAATTCGAGTGTTACATCTAAACAAGAAATAAACATACCACGAAATTTAGGAGTGTAATATTGACACAATGTCACGTCAATATTTTCCTTCTCGTGAGTAGCATGAAGTGCGGACACTGGAGGATGATGCGAGACCTGAAAG